GCGAAAGCTCAAAACGCCTGCTAAAGAAAATATTGGCTTTCCTAATTTCTCATTTACATTCTCATTCTAATAAATTATAATAAAGTATTTACTGTTTTGATTGCAAAAGCGGTTTCTCTGCCTTTTTTTTTTGCTTTGGTTCTGTTTTGGGTGGATATGCCAAGGTTTCTCCTGTTCATTTTCTCACTTTAAGTGTGTCATTTGGTCATATTGGTGTCTTCATTCTAATGTTTATTAAAATGTTACTCTCACTGCCAGTCTGAGACTGTGAATCAGAACTAGGAATGTGTAATAGTTTATTTCACATTTGAGTAAATTTCTTTTACTACTTAAACACTATTATGGATAGTGTTGATCTGAGATGAAGTTTAGATTTGGCGATACAGAATGCCACTAATTTGAGTCGTCTTTTTTTGCCATCTGCTGTTGGTATTGCATCCACAAACATGCTTTTTTTTTCTTTCCGAATCTCTTTTTGTGCTGATAGAGAATAAGCTGGCACATCTGGAAGGTACCTTTTCTTGGGCCGATCACTGTATCAACCTGTAGTGTATACTTTGATGTTCTCTTGCCCGAGTTGTTTTGATAAGTTGTGAAAAATCCACATTTTGCCATTGCAGTGAGAGAGTAAAGAGAGAACAGTATGAGCACCTACAGCAATCTCCTGAAAGGCAGGTGGCCTGGTGGTTAAAAGCTTTGTTAAACATAAAATGTGCAATATCTATTTGTTGTGGATCTGACAGTAATTAAGAGTCTTTTTTGAGGCAGCCATTGATGTAAGCCACTCTCCTTTTACTCCTCACTCAATACTTGTGTGAAGTGGTCTAGCTTGCTGTCAGGTTGTACATAGCAGTGATGGGCACTTGTTTTTTTTTTCCCAGCCATGCTGCATGGCTGGAGTGAACGCACTGCAACTGTACAGACAGCGTGTGAAGGGCACAGGCCAGCTCCAGAACTGTTCCCAACTTGGTACTGCTTGGAGCAGCTCTGAGCGAGTTTAATAATGAAGTGGCTGAAGGTAGCTGCTGGGGCTGGTGGCTTGTCCTCACTGAGCTTTGCACCACCTCCTAGGCAGTGTTAGCAGCCACAGGGATAGGTCATTAATTCCCAAGTAGCATAATTTAAACAACTGTCTTTGTGTGGCTGGTGTAGTTACTTAAAATACTGACACGTTTTGTCCTGTAAGCTACAGAATTCTTTAAAATGGAAATCCCTTAGCTGCCAAGGCGCTTCACACGATTATAAAGGTTTAGATCTCATGTGGGTTAGCAGAGAGGAAATAGCGATGGTAGGACAGAAGTCCACCATCGTTGCCTACCCCCAATCTACAGCATCTAGAGAGGGATGCAGAAATAGCAACCGGTGCTCTAACTCTGCAGTGCTTTCTAATACACCAGAAAAAAATCCTGTCACTGAGTGTACTTATGTAGTGACCAAGCTGTTGCCCTCAGCTCACCATGAAATAAATAACGTCAAGTACCGTTTGGCCTTCATTTGTTATGCAAACTAAGTCATTTATGAATGGCAGCTGTGAAATGGCAGCTTTGTTGGCCATTCCCATGAAGGAAATTATAGAAAAGGTGTGCTAGGGATAATAGGGGTAATATCAAAAATACCAACCTTAAAATAAATGCAAACGCTTTCCATTATGATCAAGACAGTCTGATTCAAGTGCTTCTCATCTTTTTAATTTTCACACTTCAGTAAGCCACCAGTTGTCTGTAAGAAACCTCAAAACTCTGTAGTTCATTGTCAGTGGAGCTTATACAGATGTGTGGGTATGAGAAGGGGAAGCCTACCCCAGAACTCAATCTCCCTTGCCTCTTATTTTATGGAGGTCACTTCAGAGTATGGCTATCCAAGTATTTATTTTGCAAGGAGTTATACCTTAGAGAATTGAAAATACAATTGTTATTGAAGTTATTGAAAGGATGGGCTAATCACATGGAAATAAAGTACCTACTAAACCATGTTTTCTAGATAGTATTCTCCAGCAAAAGATTTTAAGTTTACAGCAATACATTCTGCCTTTTGATTTATTAGCAAACTGAAGTTCCTCAAGAAGTATAATGCAAGAAGGCTGCCTTTTTGTCAGACTACTTCCACTCCAGTTTCTAAGCCAAAAGGAGTTAGGTATTGTACGAAGTTAGTATGTGAAACACCCCACAGGGCATCTGGAAGTTTCTTTAAGAACTGAGTGCTGCTGAGGAGGCCGAGCCTGGTGGCCGTGTCCCAGCTGCAGGGCCGCCGTATGCCTGCAACCCCGGCGTCTGCCCCGGCGCTTCATTGCTTGCCCTGCTCTTGGTTCATCCAAACTTTCCTCATGTCCTGCCATTTAAATGGAGCCGTTTTCCCAGGGCAGAAGGTTTTTCCTCCCCTGTAGGTAAGAGGGAGGAGAGGAGGAGCTGTGGTGGCGGCAGTTCCGCGCAGCCCGAGCTCTGCGGCACGCGGCTGGGTATCGGCGTTCCTCTTCCTGCAGCTAACTCTGTGACCTCTCTGTCTGGCAGTTTACACATATGGAAGCATTTTTCCATCTTTGAAAGGTGTGGCAGGGATTAATTTAACTTTACAAAGTGCTTTTTGATTCCCAACTGAAAGCTACTGTAGGAGCTCAAAATATACTGATGAACCAGTCCTGGCTGAAAGTCTTTGATGTGTGTCAGTGTATTTGTCAAGCAGTTTATTTGACAGTGATTTCTTTTTGCTTGCCCTAACTTTAGGACTAAGGCAATCCTGTCTTTTCCTTCCCTCTGTAGGTCTTTCTCCCTCTCTTTTGCACACACTGACCAAGTTAGAAATGTCTCTTCTGAGTAAATAATAAAAATACTTAGTTTTCAGATGTCTCAGTGTGCCCAGCGTGTTACGCTGCCAGTATGAGTATACTCATAGTCTTCATCAGATGAGCATTAGAGTAAACCAATACGGTAGCCACGGATCTGAGAAGGAAGGGGCTGCCTTCTAGAACAGTTCTTCTGTGCCCCTTGGAAACACTGCACCCTTTTTCCTAGGGAAAAACCAGTGGAGGATGGAAGAGTGGCAGTAGACGTTTCTGGTTAATTGTATGGCCAGGTGGCAAATGCGTTGCTCGTAGCCATTCTCCCTCTCTAATGTTTGAAATAAAAATCGTAAGTTAAAAGTGTTTTCTTCAGCAGTGTTGGTATTTTAGCACTGGCTTCCATTCTTTCTCACAGCTTTTAACAGAACAGGTTTAAAGTCCTATGGTTTCTGTTTCAGTGTGTTTCTCAAGTTTCCAGCTTGTACCACAGTTTTTTTTGGAGGCTATATCTGAGAATATTCTGCTGTAGCTCTCTGTTACATGATGAGAATATTTTCACATAAATTTCTAGCATCTTAATAAAAAGTGAATCAAGTTACATTTCCTTTATATGAAAATGTTGATTCTTTATGTTTTCCCACATGTATATGGCTGCCTACAGATGCATTTAAAGGCTTGGACTTGGCTGAGGCAGAAAGGGGATGTTGATTGGAAGTGCAAGGTGGAAATTAAGTGAACATAGATTAAACCACCTATCAAGCAAAGAGCACTAACAGTGACGCTTTTGAGGCTGTGGTACAGTCTTCCACAGAAAGCAGTAGATGATTTACCATTTCAGACATTTCAATCCAGTTTAGAAAGTTGTAGTAAATACATTGCAGAGAACATTCCTGCACTGGCAGGGGGGTAGACTAAATGAGCTATTACCAGTAGCTGTTTCCCATGTCTGACTGATAGTTGGCTAGGAACATGTTTAGCATAGTCGCCAATTTTTCTTCTTGTCTTTTTTTTTCTTTTTTTTTTCACTTGGAGAGCACTGATGACATTGGCAGAAGAGCTTCCTGTGTTTGAGAAAGGTTTGTGTGGCAGAGTTGTCCCAAAAGCAGGCTATTTTCAGAGGAGGCATAGACATTGATAGCCTTTATCCTTTCCTAAAGCTTTTTTGAGAAAGGGTTTCATAGGATCTGACGCATGTGAGAGGATGTGGTGGTATTGGAGATATCTGTGGATTAGCTGCTACACATATTTTCTAGTCTTTTAAATGAAAAGTCAAACGATCCTGGATATACTAATGGTGCCATTTTTTGTTATAGTGTATGATTCATTGCTTTTGATTTTTCCTGGAATTTTTTCTTCCCTAATAACCACTGTCCTGGATGGAGGGAGAATTTTTACAAAATGATTATGAGAGCAAGGTATTTCCTCTGCCTGTCCCTACTGAACTCTCTCTCCTATAAAAAACACCTAATGAGAGTACAGGTGAGAGAGATGGTGAGATGCGTTTAACTCAGTTTTTCTGATATGTTTATGCAAGACTTCCTCCTTTAAAAATACTCATCAGTGGCAGCAACAGTGATAGTAGTTAGTGACAATTTAAATACTATGTAATTTCATCCTAATCAGGGCAGCTGTAGGTGATAAAACAGGTAGTAGCATCCTGACAGCTGCTGTGTGTTGAGCTGGTAACAGAGAAATCTGGGCGTGGGGAGCTAGAGAGGTACCCAGCACCCAGGAGACTTCTCTGCTTCCCCCTGATTACAGAGGGATGTTAATACACACCTTACAGTTTCGGTAGGTGTCAAAGCATTGATGTGTCTTTGTCATAAGTTTCTGACAAAAATGTAGCTGTCTTTCACAACGAGAAATGTCAGTTTTGATCCCCACGAAATGCAAACAATGTTTAAAATTTGAAACTCTTGTCAAAACAGGCAGTATTTTTTCCCCTATTAATCTGATAAAAGAGTCAACAAAAAATAGAGGAAAGGGCAAGGAAACATTGAAGGGGGACACCAGATCAAAGCCTGTGTCTAGAATTATCCTCTGTGGCTTATTCTCCTGTAGAGGAACAGGTCTTACTGTGCAGTGTATTGCAATATGCTGCTGCTCTTTGGTTCTCCTAAAGCTTTGCTTAAAGTGCAAAATAAAAACCTGGCTAGCTCTAAATTTCCTCTCTTCTCTTTACCTTTTTTTTTTTTTTACTTCATTTTTACCATATGATGCCCAGGGACTCCAGAAAGCCTAGCTGAGAAAGAAAGGCAGCTCATGGGTATGATCAATCAGCTGACCAGTCTGCGAGAACAGCTGCTAGCAGCTCATGATGAACAGAAGAAACTGGCTGCATCACAGATCGAGAAACAACGCCAACAAATGGAGCTGGCTAAGCAGCAACAGGAACAGGTGAGTGATTATTATAGTGCCTTTCAGCTTAAATAATTTTCTAGGAGGACTTTCCAGCAGTTTATCTTTTAAGGTTGATACTCTCAAGTTTGCTCGCCACTCAATTTTTTTTTCCATTTGTTTCCTTAGGTGAACAAGTTTGAACAAAAATGTATTGGAGCAATACTTTATAAAACAATGCTCTTTGTCTTATAAAGAGCCACCTTCCACTTTGGAAGTGTTCGCTTCCAACAGTGGTTGGGTTTTTTAAACAAGTATAAATAATCATTCGAATTCAGCCCTCCTGAATAATCTTCCAAGGCTGCTTGGATTCATCGATGCTGAATAGGTGTAAAAGGAACAAAATGCAGCACTTGAATGTGAGAAATGAAAAGGTTGGTTTTGCCAACTGTGGAAAAATGTGGGGGAGAAGAATATAAAGTCAGTGAACAAGTGTGACTTGTTTTCTTCTGCACTTGAGAGGCTTCATTTTCAGCTCTTGTAAACATGCCCTCCACTGAAAAGGCAAACGTGTTTTCACATTTGAACGGTTCCAGCACGTGCACATGGACACACGATATTCCTTGTAAGAACACAACTTTCCTAACGTTTCCTAAAGTTTTAACAAATATATATCCGTTTCTGTACCTGAACAAGAGCACAGAATACCTAGACATCTGGTTTCAAATTTTCTCAGGACTTCATCCTGTTACCTCTTATGTGAAAGCTGTTTGATCTGCCTACCATTTATTTCATCTTTTAGTGACATTTGAGTTTTTTTGCCATAGAACTGCAGCTATGTGAATTTTATGAAACTCACAAAATTATTTGAAATCTGTCATAGTTGTTCTTCAATGTTCATATTGTACCAAACAAGTATTAAGATTCTACACCACTGCTGACATCTTCAGACACTTTAGCCTTGGTTTTTCCCTAGTTTTATTTAAAAACCTTATCTTAAATACTGTGTATTTGGCCTCACAACTGAAATCCTTTATAGGGAGAACAGGAGAAGTGGCTTACCTGTTTAACTGGAGAATTTCTATCACACTGTTGTTTGCATGGAGAAGTTAGATGAAGGTGTGAAGGTGGAATTGACAAGTTTCTTCCACAAGGAGACATCCTGCAAGAGCTGTTTCCTTTGCTTTACCTTTTAAAGACACTAGTGCTCCATTATGTCTGAATAATCTGAAAGTGCAAAAGAAAATGGAAGGAATGGAAAGAGGCAGTAAGAAATCCTGCAGGATTATAATTAGAGTAACAAGGATTCCTTTTAATGTTAGAAATTGTGTATAATTTTGTGTTACACAGAAATTAAAACAACCAAACGTAAAGAAAAATGTATTGATACAAATCATTTTGGTTGCTTAAAGAGATGCTCTAGAGAGAAAACAATTATTTGATCTTTTAGATGTGGAGTTAACTGTCAGTGAGTGTTTCTTATGCTAATAAGTTAATAATAGAAATGAAAGAAAATACCTAAGGGGAAGAATGCACAAAATTCCTCCCAGTAAGTATGTGTAAGTTCCCATCTGACCCTGGGATGTGTACACATACCACAGGGGAAGAGCAATAGTCCTTCTAATGTTTGCACTGCTGTACTAGCTATTCATGAGAGCAGAGCTTTTGTGATGACTCAGATGAAAGTTTTTCACGTTTGCTTTTTAAGTTTGAGGTATGTAGTGGTTTATCTCCATCAGTCCTCCAAGAACTCCGAATTTGGTTCCGTTACTGCCTGCTTTTTCCTTCACTGTATGTAAAATGTGTCTACAGTAAGGTTCCAAATCACTTAGTCAATAGAGAGGAAGGATGGACGTTCTTATGAAAAGTGCACATGACTTTGGAAGGAGACTTAAGATTCCATCAACCTCTAAATCAGTTTCAGTGTTGAGCTGTGTGGCCTTGCACTGCCCCTGTGGTTCCTTTCAGCTGATAGATGGGGTTCAAGAGTTGGTGATTCTTCCCAAACCCAGTTCCAGTCTCTTTGTGTCTGTTTCTGCATCAGGGAAACACACACACTAATACCTTCCTCCGGGGTGTCAGGTTTCCTTTATTTGGAATTTTTGAATAGGTGGTGCCAACCATAAAAAGTTATTGCTGTCTATCCTACTTTTTTGCCTTTCCTGCCTTCTCCTACTATTTTCCAGTTTCTCTGCCAGTATTGTTCTTCCTCCAGCAAGTTGGAGCAAATGAATGCTCACTGTTGGGGGATTTTAGCAGTACCATTTCATACAGTGAGAGAGGATTTTTGCATCAGTTTTTCTCTTGACATCCAGCACAACATTTCCATAAGATTCCCTTTCCCACTAGTATTAGCTCTGAATTGCTCTTGAGTACGAGCTTCTTGCTTCAGCAGCATTCCAGGCTGTTGCTGCCACCACCTGCACCTGGAGGTTTCTTAGCTTAATAGACCAGTTTAAAGAACCAAGCAGGGTGGAAGTTTCCCAGGTACAGACACCAGGAATGGTGATACATATCTCATGTTTATTCTGTGTGTTTTCTCTACAGATTGCAAGACAACAGCAGCAGCTCCTGCAGCAGCAACACAAAATTAACCTTCTTCAGCAACAGATCCAGGTCAGAGACCGTGTCTCCACCTATGCCCCTGTTACCTCCTTTCTCCTTTCCATTTCCCCACACTTTCCCTCAGCCATTATTGTCATAGTTTCTCTAAGAATCTTTGCAATGGCTTATGTCTTAATTATGGAAACACATGAAAATTTTACTTGTTATTAAGCAAAAAAGTTCAGTTCCTAGAAGGGCTTATGTGGTTTGCTGGGCTCCTATAGGGTCAGGAAGCAGAAGTGAGAGGGGCTGGTCATGTGAGCAAGGGTTTGTGGGACCAAATCCTCTTTCAGCTGTGGGTCAGGAGTGGCAAAAGTGTTGCCAGAGTTGAATTGGAAAGGGTCTCCTGCAGCTCTGTTTTGGAGGTTATGTGGAAAAAGTTCAGTGACTGGCAATGAAGTGTCTGGAGTGAGAAACTGATCAAAAGTGTGGTTAGATTCAGGAGAGCAGCTATGTAGGTACTAGGTATCTACAGGTTCACTCCTAGTAGCAGAAAATGTTGTTAAACCAGCATAACCAGTAAACTTTATTTAACCTCTTTCTTCCTTAAAGTATTCAGAAGTTTCTTTTCATGCCATTGACTGTATATCATTACTTTCTTCTGTGTATATGTGCATGCCCCTGTTTTTGGAATAATGCAAATCAGTTCTCTCATGAAGGTTTTCACAGAATAACAAAGGAGGGATTTGACATTTTGCAGGTATCTAGAATCCTAGTAAAATCTCTAGCTGTTCAAGTATGCAATTCTATAGAGAGTGTTGCTCCATTATGTGTAGCGCCTAGTCGCTGTGGAAATGGATGCTATGTTCTGTTTGTTCAGTAGCAACAGGATTTTTCTTCCAAAGCTTCTCTTTAATGTTTCAGAATTAGTTGCCTAAAATTATGGGCCGTATTGATAAATCATCTAAGAAGACTTAATTCCAGCAAAATCAGAGGAGTTGTATGGCTTCGCAGTAGAAGGAAAAACTGGCTCTGTCATTTCAAAGGATATTCTGTCAGTATCAGGACTTGTGTAACTATGAAAAAAATTCTGGGGAAAGTCTATCCCTCTGCTGTTAGGCAGTTTCTATACAGGATGTGTTTTTCTGAAAATAGTTTTGAGATTGGTAAGGACTGGCTTGGCCTTGACCTCTGCTTTTTCCCCCCCCCCCTTTAAATTAGTTCATGGGAGGGATTTTTCTGTATTGCTGTATCTTTAATAAGAAAACCAGTAGTAGATCCTATACCATAGCAAGGAAAGTATTTATATTTTTAGTTTTCAGCTATGGCAGTGAGAGAGGAAGTTGTTCTATAAGCAGTGAATAAAAATAAATTGAAGTAACATAATTTGACCCCAGCCCTTTTAAGTTTTAAGGCCTTGTAGATAAGAATGAAGTATGTCGTTTTTAGGGTAGTGGAGAACACTGATTATTGATAATGAGATATAGAGCCTTTCATCTCTTGATCCCTGGTCCAAGTTTGACCTAAGTCAGTAGTAAATGAAAGTCAGCTAGCTACCATCTGATACAAGCTGCAGTCCTAAGAAATGATTTGGAGGTCTGTCTCAAAGGATTTGAGATGAAATATTGACCCCGCTGAGGTCAGAATTTCACCTCCAGGATCCACTTCAGACAAAACCCTTCAGATTTGGGGCAGCCTTCTTTTGGATGGTCACGTGATAAAGGTGAAAAATTGAACAGACGTAGAGACAATACTGTGCCCTCATTCCCACAGAAATGTTCTGTTTGTAGTGAAATTTTGATCATTCTGCCTGCCTCTAAACAGTTCTGTGGTCTGTATGGTACTGAGTTTCATGAACCCTGGTTGCAGTCCAATTACTGTGGAGTCACTGATAGGAAAAAACATTTAAAAATAAAAATATCCTTATTGGCAGTAAGTACAATGCAAAACATTTCTTCTCCATTGTGTGCTTAGGAAGAAACAATTCCTGAAGAAATCTTCCTTTCTGTATAAGTGGAGACAATGAAGTCAACCTAACATGCCCAGCTTTAAAACGGTCTCTGAGTTTACAGGCAGGTTATGGTAGGTGGAACAAAACTGCCACAAATGTAGCTGTTGAGTTCAGCTTTCCTGACCCTGCCCTAATTAATCTAACAGGCTTCTGTCACTTTGGCCCGGAGTTTTTAAATAGAATTAGATTTATTGACAGGGAAATATTCCTACAAAGTCTGGATAACTATTTGACTTATGTGCAATTGAATGATTAGGCTGCATTTATGAACACAACCTATTTATGACAAAGGATTCGTTCTACTTGAGCCAGTTTTTTCTAAGCTTGTAAGAGTTGCCATAATTCCAGATAAATTATTACACAGAAAAAAGCTAGTGAAATATTGTATTGAAAACATAATACCCTAAGGTTAAAAAAAAGCACAACCTGGCTGACCCCATGATTTATGACTCCTTTCTCTAAGTGCACTAACTTGGAAACAGTTCCCTCTCTCCCTGCTCCAGCACTGGCTCACCGATACACCCACAGTGCGTAAGCAGGGGGGGACTGCAATGTGTCTCTCCTCCTCAGAGGACTGCAAATGCTGAGTATTATAACAGCTCAGTTAAAATCACCACTTCCATGGTGCTGGGGAAAGGTGTGTTAGCTACTTGAGCTTAGCAAAATATACCTGGCATGTGAGTCTCTCATTGACATTTTTCAAGTCCATCTCTTGTGAATTGTCTGGAAGGAGGGGTCACTAATGCTGAAGACAAACAGCTTGTCTTCACATGGAGAGTTAAGTAGAGAGATCATGCTAAGCTGGAGAAACAGTGCTGATTAGAGTAAACTTAAGAATGTGTATGACCCCAAACTGCTAAAATGTGATCTGGACAGGATTTTGTGTTTTGGCAAATGTTTAATTTTTTTTTTTTTTCCTTTTCAGGATGTTCTAGACCTAATTTGTGAAGAGGTTTGAGTTTGTCTGAGTAATTAACTAAACCTTCCCCATCTTATTTTTTTGCCACTGTGGAATGCATCCTCCTATGCAATCTGCTTTCTGTTCTATTTCATCTTCATGTGTATGTGCATTGGAAAGGTTTTTGCTTTAACAGTTTCTGCCTGCTGAGTATTTGGGGTCTGCTTCCCTGCACACCTCAACCTTGCTATTTGTCAAGAAACGAAACTGGAGTGTGTGTTCTGTGAACTCTTGTGCATCAGCAGCCCCAAAGATCTCCCGTTTCAGAACAGCTCCATAGCAATCTGCAGCTGTAGGACAGACTGAGGAAGGGGCATGCTAACACCAAGTACAGCTCAGCAAGTTCCTTAGTTTTGTTCTTCAGGAGAACTCTCATGGTGACTTCCTTATCTTCTTTTGTGAGATCACAAGCTGATTCTGGCGTCCTTGCTGTAGAACATGGAGAAGTCTGGGGCTCTGTAGCTGTCACCTCAGGTGGGCAGACGGTGGAGGAAACCTGAAGGGTAGATGCTCCTTTGTCATGATGGTGAGCTTGTCCCCCGGACAGGCAGTGTGCATAGTGTTCTGCCTTGAGGGGTGTTTCTGAGATGCCAAGTTCTGTGGGGTGGTGCAGCCTCCACTTCCCACTTCCTCAGAGAAAAAGTCTAGCCCAGGTTGATGGTTGTGTGATTTGCTTTGAAGCTCAGTGACAACTATATTTAAAATTAAATATGATTGTTGAAATTCATAAAGCAATTCATACTCAGTAGGCCACTGTTAATAAAATAGGTCAACTTTGTAGCCTAAATTGTGGTAAAATCGATGCTGCTAAATCTCACAATTTTGTAGAAAGCTTGACAGTGTTTTATGTTTTTCCCTCAAGCCCCAGGTCTTGGAGTCATGTGATGACAAAAATGCCAGCTTTCATTTCTTCAAAATGTAAACTTCCAGCTCTCATATTTCCAGGCAAAATTTGAAACCATGAGCACTACAAGTTCCAAAATTAGAAGGCAAACAAAACGGAGGCCAAATGTTTTTTAAACTGTTCTGATTTTTAGTCAAAATTTTTTTTGGAGAGCCCAGCTCAAGATCTTGGAACGCTTCAGGTTGCCAATAATGTAAAACTAAGATCTCAAAACAGCAAGAAGCAACAGCGCTGCTTTACAATGTCTTTAACATTTGGACCACAGCTCTGTTTAACTTCTTGGTTTAATGCTGCCTTTTTAGTTTAGTGCTGCCAGTACTTGGTTACTAACATATATTCATTTCTGAGTGATGTCCTTAGCCCAAGAGCCAAGTGTTATCTGAAACTTGAGAGTAACTCTTGCCATCAACAAGTTGACAGCAACCATTCTATGACCCTGTGTTTTAATAGAGGCTTTTCTTTTTCCTTCAGAGCTAGAGAGACTTGTCAGCAGATGTTCTAATGGGATTTCTGTTAGAAAGTTCAGACCCCTGAATAACGAGAGGAACCTGACTAAATTCTGATGTAAAGCTTAGAAGGTACACGTCTAGCCCTCTCTGCCTGCCAGGTGGGATGGGACTTCTGCCTGGTGCCCGGCCAGATGGCACAGACAGGTCCAGAGCCCGGTGGCACCTGGCAGGTGTGCCAGGAGGCCCTGCTCCTAGCCAGAAAATTTACTGAGGCCTTGATGCCTTCAAGTTTTGCAGACCACAAGCTTTGCACCACAGCCCTCCAGACTCCGTGCTCCTTTGGACTGCCGGCTTCCCTGAGTCCCTCAGCTGCCCGGGGTGTCCGCCTGCATCCAAATAAGGCTTTCCTTTGTGAGTCTGGGTCCAGCTTTCCGTCCTTCTCACCCCCTGACAGCTGGCTGTGTCCCTTTCCCCATGAGTTGTGTTGGTAGATGGAGAGGCCTGGCTGTACTAGTATGTTCCCAAATCAGAATATTCCCATTCTCATTAAGTTCTGAGGTTTAACGTGTTGTTCCAATTTGGAATGTAATAAAATCTTGAACACTTGGAATTTCCTGCAGGATGGTTAGTCCGGTTTGTAGCCAGATCTGTTTGTCAAAATCTAGTTGTATTTTTGGGGAGGAAAGAAGGGTTTGGTTTCTGAGTTACACAGAAGTTCAGAAAATTATTTCTTAAGCTTAACCTGTGAAG